TTTCTGTCAAGGTGGGGTGCTGAGTGTACATTAATGAGAAATAAAATGAACTTTTTTGATTTTAGCAAATGGCTGCAATGAAACAGAGTGAAAAATTTAAAGGGGTCTGAATACTTTCCGTACCCACTGTAAATACTTACTACTTTAGTGTTTTTCTTGTCCTCCAGTGTCACGGTACCAGACAGACAACTTCACACCAACGAAGAAGTGGGCAGCAGACCACCGCGCGGCTCCCCTCGGGGCCACAGCAGCACTTTATCGCCACGTCAACCAAAGGCGAGCAACTCTTCCAGGACCACGGCCTACTCCGGCAGCCAGGACCAGTCCCCGTCCCTGCTGGTGGAGCCCTCCTTGTCCTGTCCCGACCCCAACTTGCTCGCGCCCCTGCCCCCCTCCCACGCGCCGCTCACCGTGGGCTCCTACCCCAGCGCCAAGAGCTTCCTGGGAATGAGGGCCCGCGAGCTGTTCCGCAACAAGAGCGAGAGCCAGTGTGACGAGGAGCAGCAGCAGCAGCAGTCGTCGCGCCTGGCTGGCCTCGCACACGGCCTGAAGACGGAGCTGTGCGTGGAGCCGCCCTGCCCCGGTTATGTCGCCCCCGTCGGCTCGGCACATTCCGCAGCCCCGGCCCCTGCCCTCACCACTCCTCTCACTGTGCCCACCAAGGAGCCCCCCTCTGAGCCCAAGCTGCGGGCCTCTAGCCAGGAAAGCCCCCGCAGGAAGGTGGGATCAGGTGGAGGGCGGGGTCAGGCGGGTTCAGGGCGCCCCCGGCAGCAGCAGCTAAAGATCATGGACTACAATGAAACGCATCACGAGCACAGTTAAGAGACATTGGACTGAGCCGGGACGGAGGTCCAGAGACGAGTTTAACATCGGAGAAGAGCTAAATCCGCAGAAAGAGTAACCTGTCAGCAACTCTTTGGATTTCTGTGTTATTTGTTCCATTCCTCTGAGTGGACAACAGGATTTCCCACAGTGTTTTTCTACTTTTTTTCTTTTTTCTTCCGAGTCATTCCCCCGATGAATTTTTGACATGATGAGAGGGGATACTAATTGGATGTGATGTTACCAGAGAAGATGCTAGTCTTATGAATTTGATTATGAGACAAATACGCCGAACAGTGATCAACGTGATCAATAACTCACATGTGACACTGTGAGCCCAACGTTTTTAAGGGTCAGTTCATCCGAACTGCAAACATCCCACTTGGCTCCAGTTGTACCAGCCATGCGGAAAGTTTCACTTTCATTTATCCAAATTGTGAGAAATCGGTCTCTGAGATTTCTGCTGGCACAATGGAAGTGAATGGAAGTTTAGTGGCGCTCGCAGCATTGAAAGATCACTTAAAAACAACCTTCTGAAACGCTGTCACCAACTGAAGTCTTCTTTGATGGGGACACGTTTTCCAGAAAGACAAGTTGCTGTTATAATATAATCTTAATAGTAAATGCCGTTGGCACCACCAATACAGCCACCTCCATTGTGTTGCATGTGGAGACGGCAATCTCTGACACAAATATCTCCAAATTTGGACAAATAGAACTCCAGTCTGTACCACTGAAACCAAGTGAGAAAATGTTTAGTTTTATTCATAGTTTGGGTGTACCCACCCTTTAAAACCCTGAAAAAAATTGTTTGAAATTTCCACATTCTGTTGTACCTTTTTTGTTTCTTTTATATTTATTCAGCCATGAAGTACATATCCTAAATTTGAATCAGACCTGGCAAATGACACAAGCCCAAGCTTATAGAAATCATGGTTCGTTCCTTTTTTTTCTGTTCAGGACGACCTGCCGACCATTTTTGAAGTGCCATACAAACATTTGTGTTCTGGCTGAACTCGCACGTCTCTGAACAGAAGTGTTGGTTCTCGTGCTGCGCGTACAGTCAGCTGGTACACCGTGGGAAAGACAACGGCTCGGCCAATCGGGTTCCTTTGGTGCAGGTCTGATAAACGGGGAGTTTCCTCTGAGTATTAGAGTAAACTAATCCTGTTTAAATCCTGTTGTCCACCGGAATGCCTGCTGTCACTTCCTTTTGCCTCGCTATCTAAAGCATGTTCAACAATCCACTTTAAATGCCAACCGTAGTAACTACCGCAAACCAAGACAGAAGGTACAATCAGCACAAACTGAAGAAACCAGGACTCTGACTGGAGCTGGACAATCTGGGATCAAACGGCAAAAAAAAAGGAAGTTCTTAAAGCAGTGGCTTGTGTTTTAACTGTGAACAATAAAGATCGTCTTCAATGTTTTGCACTACAATTCTGAGTTTTGCTTTTATTCTACTGCTGAATGTAAGCCGCCCTTTTGTAAAATGCAGCGTCAAGGTGTTTTCGTCATTCCGCCGTGTTGTGTTTTTGGGACGGGACACGTTCAGATGTTTGCAGATTGAAAAGTCAGTCCGTCCTATACTGTGTGGTTTACAGCGCGATAGAAAACTGATCAAAAGAGAATGAATGAGTGTATAAATTCATACATGACTTCTTTGGTGGTCATCGCTGTGATAGACGGTAAGGCCCAAAAGCACAGAAAAAAAAAAAGTTAATTTTAATATGGGATTAATCGCTGTAGTCATTTAAATTCTCATCTTTCCACCTTCTTAAATGTGAGGATTTGCTGCTGTTCATCACATACCATATTTAACTGAATATCTTGACGTTTGGACTGTTGGTCGGACACTTTTGGCTCTGGGGGAAATTGTGATTGGTCATTTACTATATTTCTATTTCCATTTTTTTTAATGAATGACCAGAATCTTAAGTTTGTTTACATTCTTTGATTAGACGTTTCCCAATCTAAATCCTTAAGCCTTTCTAATTAACATGCATTTAACACTGGCTGGAGGCCATCTGGGTTCAGAGGGGATGTATTGAGCAGTAATCATATTTTTGTTCAATTTATAACAGGGTTTAAACTAAGGTATCAAAAGTGCACTCTTGATATTTGTACTAAAACTCAAATATCATACAGACAACGATTGAACACCGAAACAGCTCTAAACACCAACTACTACTGCTATTACAGGTAATACTAAAAGTAGTTCGTCGATGCGGTATACTGGGGTGGCCATGGTGACTTTTTTTTTTTTGATTTTTTTTTTTTTTTTTCAAATAAGAATATTGCTTGAGCATATTTCTAATGAATTACACTGTGTGCATTGCACATCCTAGTTTAAACACTAGATGTCGACTAAATTGAGTGAAACTATCCGTGTCTTAACCTCTTGGCCCAGAAACCAATATTTTACACATTTCTGCCTGTTCTTTTTGTTACATCCTCATATGAAACTTAGATTCACATGTTGGATTTAACTACATTAACATAATATTTTATGTGGGAGCTTAGGCCATGAGCAGAACCAAATATAGGAATTTTGTTATGTTGAAAACTACACATTCACTATTGTCCGTCCAGTGACTCCTAATATGCATTTGTATATGGCCTTCAGTCAAAAGAGCTTGACTAACCCTGCCACAGTACATGGAAAAATACACACTTGTAAGATACTTAAAAAATGTGACAATACAGTAACACTAACCTGTATAAGAATAGTAAAAGTAACTTAAGAATTGTTGTAGTGACGCAGTTATTAATGTTAGAATTAAGCATTTGAGAACATTGCTCCCACTCTCACATGTGACCTGTAAACCCCGTTAGCTTAGCTTAGCTTTAACACTGGCGCCAGGTAGCATAGCCCTGTCCAAGATACCCCACAGCTGCTTTAAACTCACTAATTAACGCGTTACGTCGCGTGAGTTTAATCTACGCACCCGGACAAGCTAACTGCCTCGTGCTCATAGCTTCATATTAAATGGACGGATATGATATATGTCTTCTCGACTACAACTCTCGACAGGAAAGTTAATACACTTATTTCCCAAAAGGTCGAGTTGTTCCTTCAGTAAATACGAACAGAGGTGAGTGTCGGTCTGACATGTTCACACACATGTATGTTTAGCGTTATGTTGGCTATACAAAAGATAGCATACGAGCCAGCCTTTTATGTTTAGAGCACCTTGTGTCTTATGCTAAAGAAAGTTGTGCTCGAAATGTTTTGTCTTCCAACTTAAAGGTTTGTTGTTTGACATTTTCTAGAAAAACCTCATTCCTTTCTGCTCTCTTTTCAAGGAAAAGAAGAGTTACATTTATTTATATATATATATATATATATATATCCCCCCCACAGATACTGCCGGTGTCCCTGTTTGTATTGACTTCTCTCCTCCTGTTTGTTGTCTTGTTTCCACCAGAGGACACTGTTGCTCCAAAAACACCGGAGCTCCTTCGCCGAGCCTCTGCGGGATCAACAGGTACAGTGAGTGGGTCTGGTGAAGTGTTGTGATGGAAGATGATTCAGATGGCTGGTAACCGTGCTGTTCATTATATGACGGCACAGTTGATGATACTGGCGATGCTGTACTCTTATGTGTTCTTTGAGGTCATGTATTTTTTTTCTTCAATATTTCACTTTATTTGAGGTACTTTAGGAAATAGTGTCACAACAGTAAAATAAAAACACCTGTAAAAACGGCAGACAATACACTAAAACCATTATTACTGATTCTTAAACACAAGTCAATTTACTGATAAATTGTCTTATAAATTCATGAATTTATCACGAAGTTTTCTTTATACAAATATGTGTTTTGTAGAACATTGAACTGGAAATTCGAAAACTTGATACTTTGCTCACTAACGGCATTCTGTCTTTGTGTGTGTGTGTGTGTGTGTGTGTGTGTGTGTGTGTTTTATATCAACTCCCTGGGCCTTGCTGTTAACTCTCATCCTGCTTCCAGGACTGAATCATTTTTTGTGAGTACAACCGACCAAGTATGATTAGTTTATCAAACGTGTGCATATGTATTTCACGAGAGAGTCCAAAAAAAAAAAAAGAAAGTGGTATGATTAATTTACCAGCATTCCGCAGGGTCAAGGAAATTGATGCAGGATAATTGGGCACATAGGGAATCCTTGGCAATTTGTGCTTTCAGACGCTACTTGAGAAATTAGATGTCAGTGCAAATGTGAAATTGCTCCTCAATGTTCTCAAAGATTCCATGAAAATTTAAACATAAATCTTAAGTATTTCCAGCAAAGGGATTCTCTCCCCCCCCCCCCCTTTTTTTTTTTTGTGCCAACTTGAAATGAAGCCCTGTGAAAATGATCTGAATGAAGTGAAAGTGTATGAAGGAGGGGGGGGAGGGGGGGGACATGCGAGCTTGTGTAAAGTTGGGGCTGCACTCCGAGGAGGATGTCGGGGCTCTTGCTCTTGGTAAAATCCTCATGCAAGAATTCATTAGATTCTTTTTGACAGGAAGTAAAGTTTGAATTCATCTGAAGACTTGTAATTATAATATTCAAGATACACCTATAGCGCAAAATACGTATAACTCAGACTGTGCTGTATAGCCTACTTTTTTTTTCTTCTTTCACTCGGGTTCAAAGAAGAAGTGTAGAAGTTAGAAGGTACAATCGTACAACACGTGTGTTCATATGAATGAAACTATAAATTACACAGCTGTGAATAATTAATTTAAAGGAGCAAACGTTTGTCAAGTTCAGGATGTCATTCATTGATAAAGTTACTGTGTATGTTTTTAGTTTAAAATAAATTCCAGCCACTTTATTTTGAAAAGGATCCAGAATGACCCATTTTTCTAAAACACTGGTCATTAATTACATTTTATCTATTCAGCTTCAATTACAAGCGTTACTGACGATTAATAAATCATCATCGTCGAGTCTGATCAAAACTTGTGGGGAATTTTATATTCATGCAAAATCAAGATAAACTGATCGCTTAAAAAGTCTTGCTCCAAACTCCTAGTTATATTTAAATGTTAGTGTTTATTCCTCACGGGCACGCAGTGCAAAAGAAAATGCTAAACAAGAATATTTTTGGTAAGCATACTACATACTGACACTCTGGAAAACGGCTTCATTTGTCCTCATTAAAAGCTTAAAAGTCCATGAATAAATAATCATTAAAGAGGATACTTTTTTCCCCCGCTTTTTCTTTTTTTTTTTTTTATATCTTCGGCCTTATGCAAAATACACTCGCTGCCTAAATAAATATGCTCCATAAAGGCTGTTTAGAAACGTGCCCTCCCCCCTCTACTTCCACATTTAGATCGCTGACATGCACCTAAAGATCAGACCCTACATTGGCTGTTGGTTTCGGGGGGAAAAATTGGACCTCCGAGAGTCAACTTAATGCAATTAAGTGAGGATGATGAGTCTTTCTCTCTGTGTGCTGCTTGAATCACTAAGCAAGGCGGAATCCAAACTTAAAGGCAAGAAGAAAAGAGCGGGAGCTGAGCGCGCACAGACCGGTCCCTACGGTTTAATTATTTTAATTATCTCTCCTCTTTCAGCTTTCCTTAAATTAAAAAAAAGAGGCCATTAAAGGATGCCCGTTTGGGTTAATCTGATTTTTTTTTTTAAAAAAAAAAAAAAAAAAAAAAAAAGATGGAGGGAGAGATGAAAGGCTGCAGATGTCAGCGCTAATCAGGGGAGTTAAAACTGCTATTTGTGAACTGGGACGGTTGTTAAAGTGGGTAGAAAGTGCATGCAGTGTGTGTGTTTTCTTTTTCTTTTTTTTTTCTCTCCTACGTTTTTCCTCACTTCAAAACACCTCCTTCCTGCAGCCTCTGTTGATCAGCTCCCTCTCATGCATCTCCTCAAACTAACGCCATGTTTGATTCTCCGCCGCGCTCTGTAACTGTGCTGGCAGCAGGTCAGAAAAACACGGAGAGAAATATTTAAAGTTTAAGTTTAGTCTCCGGTGGTACGGTTTCGTTTTTCGTAAAGGAAGATGCCATTTGAGGAAGTGATGAAAGCGGCATTAGCAATTAGCAACACCACAGTGAATATCTCTCCCCTTTCTTTTTTTTTTTTTTTTACAGAAAGTCTGCCAATAAGGCACATCATTATCTATTTACCAATCTCTACACTTTCATTCTGAGGAAAAAGATAATCTTTAATTGCTTGCAAGTTTATTCAGTTAATAACTTAGTCCTTAAAGTGTTATTTTCCTGAAACAAGTGAGGAAAAGTCTGTCAGATCCTCTGCAGATTAGCTCTTCTCATGCATTTTCTAAAACCAATCTGGTTTTAGAATGTCAGTCAGAATGTCATTTTAGTTTCAGTTTCTATGTTCAACGAGGGGGAGTAAGTAAACAGGCGCTTTAGATTGTGTGTTTCAAGATACACATGGTCATTTTCTAAGGTTGCTTTCTAATGGAAACGTGTGCAAATATTCTC